GCTTTTACAGGATGAGTTTGTGTCAAACACTGCTCAAGAGCTTTCTGAAAATGTACAGTTATCAATCAGAAAGGTGTGAAATTAATATTAGAAACAAATATTTTGTACAGACAGATACGGATGCGTTTCATTTCAATGAAAATAGTTCTTTCAAGATTTTAAGGTCATAAGGGCACTTAACTTTGTGAACAGAAGATGGTGCTGCAGTACAGCACAATTTAAATAAAAGTTATACTCCAGTAAGTTTTCTAGGACTGTTAAGCACCTTGAATTGCCGCCATAGCAGCCCTGCTCCAGACTTTTGCATTTAATTCTTAATTTCACTAATTCTATATAAAGACAACTTGTTAAAGGCTATGATTTTTTAACAACATATATGTTACACGTTGTAAAACATAACATGGTATTGTGTTGCCATAACAATTTGACTAGTTGGGGCATTATCAAATTGGTACCAGATGTAATTAGGGGTAAAATCAAATGCTACGTGAATGAGTTTCCCAAGACAATGGGAAGTTTAAGTTTCCAAACGTTTGTTTTGCAGAATAAATGGATTAAACTAATTTCTTTTGGTGTATTACCATTCATTATAAATGTTACTTCCTTCAGACATGATGAAAGTTTAGCATTTTTCTGGTATGGAATAGTGAATATAAATAATTAAATATGCAGAAATTATGGTTTTGCAAAAAGAGAAATGTCAAATCGAGCTATTTGCACCAAACAGATCACACAATTAGATGGAGTACTACTGAAGGTACAAATTTCAAAATTCTGTTACAATAGAAATTACAATTCTGTTACAATACAATTCAGTTACAATACAAATTACAAAATTCTGTTACAAAACAAAATTTTGAGTATAAAATGAGAGTTGTCACTTGGACGTCAAGCTCTGCATGTGTGTATGGGAGAGGGAGAGGATGAATATTTAAGGCATTAAATAGGTACTTTAAGTTGAAGCACTCCCTTACAGATTTTTAAGGTCTTGGTATTTCTTGAAATTGTCAGCAGAAAGTTTCCTTAGCAGATTCCTCTGAAGAGACCTGTAGGAATGAATGCACACAGTAAAACTACTCTCTCACCTTCCTACAGTGCTGCCACTTGTGTTACTCAATATGAGCAGCTTTCACACTGCTAAATAATAAAAGCAACATGAAACCACCTGAATATGCCACCTCTGTTTGTCTGAATATTTGTATCTATTTAAGCAGTAAGCCAAATACCTTATCATCAAAAAATATTCTCCCATGTCCCCAAAGCAACTGACAAATATTACGTCCAACAGTTAAAAAGATTTGAGTATGAACTAAGCCACACATTTATTTCAAACCTCAAAGGCATATAAAGCTTATTTTCCAGTGCATGTGTCCCTGTGTCCCCATCTCCATTGGGCACCAGCTCAAGTGTCCTGTCAAGAACAAAAACCGTTCAGGATGTGGTTGGACTAGAAGAGACTCTAGCCCAGAAGCCATCTGAACTGACTCACTGCATTTTCTAAAGCTAGAACTGGGCCATTATTTTTGAAGTCTTTGTTGACCCTGAGCCAACAGCCAGTTTAAATACATATTTGACATTCCACATCAATCTTCGTTGTGAAGTATTGCGGTGTGCGAAGATGGACCCAACAAGGAGAACCTCAGCCACATGTGAGCATGAACTGGTACTGAATGGAAAGATCCGTACCCGTGCTCTAAGGGAAGATCCTCAGGGAAGGACACATGAGGCTGTCCTCTGCTCATCATACAGCAAACGGTCTCTCAAACAGTGATGCGCAAACGAAGAGCAATATCAACCATTCTCTGATTTCTTCAAAAAGTTTGATTTACACATATTATCTGTATGATGACCCAGCCCAGATTAAATCCTTTTAAATAACGGCATATTCATAGACATCAAATGAGATCTGAAAAGATTTGCTCAAGCCAGTAGTTCCACTTAGTTCAAGGTTATTGACTTTATTGGCAGGAATACAGACTAGGAATATTGGCAGGATCGTAGAATAATAAAAAGGTCCTAAGCATTGTGTCTTAAAGAGAAACATATCTTTTGATGATTGCTTTAGTTTTCCTGACACTGTTCCTAGCTCAAGCCACTGTTACAAACATGAAATAATCACTTCACCGCAGAGATTTTTTAGTTCCTTTTCTCTCCTTTTATGCAGGGAAAAATCTGTACTTAAAACATTAAAGGACTTGTCAACAGAGAGATGCTATGCTTTCACAAGTACCAGATGAGCCAACCGGTCGTAATCATAAGGCTGTAGTTGTGAAAAGATGTAGGATTGATAGCCAAACCTAAACAGAGCGAGAGAGCACTTTTCTGCTCTACTTACATTACGGTTATGTTTGAAGAGGCTGACGGGACAGCACGCAATTTGGCAGCGTCGCAGCAGATCTCCAGGCCTTGGCAGGTACACGCTGCTGGCACAGCACCAGCCACTGCGTGAGAACAAGAACGTGGTTGTGGCGAAAGGTGGGATGGGTAGTGTGATGGGATGCGGAGAAAAGAAAGATGGTGTAAAAGAACAGTCAGCACAAAGATAGACATACCGGCCTGTGTTAAACAGAAATTAAGGCACATGTTTTTACATAGTTGATTTAGACCTGGGAAGACCCTAACAATAAAGGGACACAAAAAATTACGTTTCCTCCTGACCTCTGTGAAAGAGCTAGTAAAAGCTCTTGAGCTTTAGGCTTGATATAGATGAATCTGGCATGGATTTTTTGTGGCTCTTTTTTAGGTTATTCAGTCCTCCTATGTTTACTAGAACAAGCACAATTCTGTTCAGGTGGAAACGGGATGAAAATGGGTCAGGAAGTCTTTGCTCCCTTTTACCCCATCTCTGGGCTTGAAGTTAGGGCAGACAGCAGAGTCAGAACAACTGCACAAAGGGACAAATGCCCGCAGAAGTGGAAGGGGTCTGCAAGAATCATTTGATGTATGAAGAATTGAATTTGGAGGATTGTTGCCTTCATTTCACTCTGAAAGATGTGTGTTTCATGGTCTTTCAAGCGGTATTAATATATTCAGTTAAACATTTATATTGCCCTCCTAATTGGCATATGTTTGATGCTTCTCTTACAGAAAATGAATCACTTAATGGAACTGAAATTAGCTTCAGTGCATTTGTTCATCTAAGACATTAATTCTGTTTTACTATAAATGAAACTGCACTGTATTTCTCTTTCTGATAAGCATATTTGCGGTGCACTTCTTTCTAAGAATCATCAGTAATAATCACACAAATAGTATCTGTAATTACTTACAGCACTTGGGTGTCTTCGTCTGAAATGCATACAGAGACTTCAGTTTATTGTATTTGTCCTTCGTATAATGTTTATCAAATTGCAGAGACCATCCGTTGTTGTCTTCTAATGAAAAAAACACATACAAGACACATTAGAATAGAAATAGAAGGTAGAAATACCTTCACTAAATTTAGTTGCATCAAGTTTTATCTAAATAATATGCTTTTCCCAGAACATTTCATAGACCATTAGACGACATTGTCTTTATACAGCTGCCTAATCACATGTATGTACAGAGATTACGAGCTACATAGTAGGAATAGCTTATGCCTTCAACAACGTTTTCTGTGACAGTTGCACCAAAAAAGTATGATCTTTCACTTCAGAACTTTTTGTTTACATAGGAGTCTAAAAACCAGAGGCGATTATATTTTCCTACCTCCTTAAATGTGCAGGTTTGTCACTTTGTCCAGGAAAGCTGAAAGGATTACTACAACTCCTACTACTTCTTTCAGAGGGCTGTCTCACACTATAACAGCTTATACTTTCTTCCCGGAAAATCTAGCTGAAGGTCAAATGAACACTGCTTTTCAAGAGAATGGGTGACATGGTGTAACATATTCAAGTCAGTATAAGTTCAGCTTAATATGCATCTTCTTAAACAAAACATTATTCCATACTACCAGTTTGGTCACTGTGCATAGATCATAGAACGGTTTGGTTGGAAGGGACCTTAAGGCCCACCCAGTTCCAACCCCCTGCCCTGGGCAGGGACACCTTCCACCAGACCAGGTTGCTCGAAGCCCCATCCAACCTGGCCTTGAACACTTCCAGGGATGGGGCATCTACAACTTCTCTGGGCAACCTGTGCCACTGCCTCACCACCCTCACCATGAAGAATTTCTTCCTGATATCCAATCTAAATCTTCCCTCTTCCAGTTTAAAGCCATTGCCCCTTGTCCTATCACTCCATGCCCTTGTAAAAAGTCCCTCCCCAGCTTTCTTGTCGGCCCCTTTAGGTACTGGAAGGCTGCTCTAAGGTCTGCCCGGAGCCTTCCCTTCTCCAGACTGAACAACCCCAACTCTCTCAGTCTGTCTTCAT